TTTACTCGTTATTCCAAGCTCTCTAGCTTACATTGCTTTTGATTGAATACTGTTTCTTCTTTTCTTTACTTTTTTTTTATTTTTTTCTTTTTAACAATTTAATTTCTTGAGTATTATGTGAAATCTTAATAATAGTAATTAAAATAAAAGTTTTTTTTTTTTGCTTTTCAATTTTTTTCTTTTTTTTGTTTTTTTCATTAGTTCAAACTAACAGAAAAAAGAATTCTACCAAATTTACAAAATGATCGGTGATTCGCTCTGACGATAGCAAAAAAACCATATTCTTCATTCTCAGTCTTTTTTTTTAATTATAATAGTATCAAATTTCTTCAACCTTATTTTTTCGAATGGACAAAAGAAAAGTTAGCTACCAAAATTGTCCGTCGCTCGATCATCTAAAAATTTTATCATCAATTGCACGATCACGCCACTTGTTGAAAAAATCGAAAAACCAATACCGATTATCACAAAAACATCGAACACTCATCGCAACGAACAACCCTCCCGGATTCAACAAAATTGCACTTAATCCTAAAAGTAATACCACCAAGTACGTATATTGTGCACAAACGATAAAGAACGCAATTCCACATCCAACAAAACAGCAGACAATCCGCACACACGTAGGTGCAACACCAGTTGAAATGCAGCGTTCAGCGCGAGATGAGCAGCATCGGAGGTGGCGAGCCCGGGGGTGGATACGCCGCGTAGCAGTGACAGCCATCCCGGTGTCTGCGCAACGTGGCGACGACAGTTTGCCGGTGGCGGTCGGAGTCGACTGTGGCAAAGTAGCGGTGATCCGGTAACTCCTGGCGGCAGTAGTCGAGGCAGGCGCGGGCCCGATCGGCTAGGAGCCGGCCGAGCCGGGCCTCGAGGCCCAGGACGAGCCGGAGCGCATTAAGAGGACGAGTTCCCCAGTGTCAGACAGCGCTGTTCGGAAAGCGTGGCGGGGGAAGCGGGGGCGGTGGCCTCTCCGGTTGAGCGGGACGAACGCCGGCTGTGGTAGAAGAGGCTTCGGAGCCAGCTGCAAAGACAACTGCAAGGGGGACAAAGAAAACGAGACCAAATGTGATTTTCGAGGGATGGTGTGGGCCCTGAGCGAGGCTCGTTGCTTTTTTTTTTTTTTTTTTTTCCTTTGTGTACGGTTGTGTGTCTATATCTACAAATTAAAATACCAGGGAGGTCCTTGCGCCGTCGTAACAAGGCGCAGGGCATCCACGGCAATAAAGCTGTGTTATTCCTACAGAATGGCTCACCTTTGGGTTTTTTTTTCTTTTTTTAATCAAGTTGAGCTGAATTATAATTTTCGTTTGACCGTTCTTTTAGGGACCTTTGAGTGTAATATATCTTACCGACCGTGTACTAAATTTTTTTCGATAAAATAATAATTGCAATTTCAAATAAAACTCAAGTAATATGCTTCGTTAGCGTAGGACCTGTATCCATGAGAAAAGTCCGAAGTTTTTAAAAGGTTTGCAAAAATAATTAAAGGACTTAGATTTTCGGTACTTACTTCCAAAATAAAGTGTTTCAATAGCCTTGTGATCATCAGAATTGAATGTGATTTTACAATCAATACAAAATAAATATTTACTGGCGGTAAGATAGTTCACTCTTTAAAGGTCAACAACTGATGTCCCCCTTAAGACCATTTGTTACATTTGCAGAAGATTACACGTTACCAAGTACCTCATTTTTAATAGTTTTAATAGATTACTTAAAAAAATATTTCTACTGTTTTGTATAATGATGGAAACAAGACATACAGCCGATATTCAAATCAATCGAGCTGAACCCTATTGTAGACATTAAAAAATGAAGTCAAAAGAGACTAGCTCTTAGTTTTACATGAAATAAAATTTATTAACCGTAGTTCACTGAAACTAATGAAAATGAAGTAGTTGGTGAGTAAAAAACTTCCGCTGATGTACTGAATGCTCTTAAAGCGGTAATTTAATTAATTTATGTTATTCCAATCAAATGTGTTATTCGTGAAGGAATAGGATTAAGATTTTCGCACTAGTGGTATAGGTTGACATGGCATGCTTATTAAATATTACAATCATATTACAACACTTATCGTATGGCTGTAATGTTACTTATTGTCGCGTTGGATATTGATCTATTTTTTGGAACCTGTCGGTTTTTTTTATATTACATTGTTTAATTTGTTAAAATTAAAAATTTATAAATTTAAGAAAATCCCAATAGGTACATAGCTCATTCATATGTTTTTAAGTAAGCCGAACGAGATTAAGTAGTATAAGTCAAGATTACGTCAGACAATAATACTTGCCGAAAAATGTCAAAAGAAGGAATTTTATTTTGTCTTTAACTATTTGCTCATAGAAACTAAGCAGATTTCTAAATAATAATATTTAATTTATAATTATAGAAGTGGGATAAGGAAAATTAGCCAATAAACAACATGATGGCGTTTTTTCATACAATTAAATATTTGACAACCTGAAATATTTCTATTTTTTTTTCATGGTTCATCTATTATGTAAATTTGAACTTTTCCAAACAATTCACGGAATAAAAATAAAAAATTTTCTTTTTCAAGATAAAAAATAAGATATAACTCAAAAGTCGCTGGAGAGGATTTTAAGCGCTAACTTGGTAATAATCATTATCTACTGAGTCTCACTCATCTACTGCATCTCGAAATTATCTTGTTGAGGAAATTTCCTAGTTTAAAACACAGTGTATTTTATAGAGCTCCCGTGACTCTTTTTGATGTTACTACATTTAGGAGACAATGAAGCATTTACACATTAAATTATTTAATATTTTTTTGAGCGATAATAATAAGTATATAATTGTTGATTACGTAAATAGCAATTAAGTTTTTGATAATCAAACTTTTATATTTTTTTTTTCAGGTTCCAAAAATAAACAGTGCATCGTACAGTTAACATTAAACATGTAATGATTCATTAACTCACAAGTTTTAAAGGTTTCATGCACTTTTCTGTTACAATAAAATAGTTGCTTTTCTAATCGTGGAAAATGCAATATACAAGCAGCTCTTACTTAAAGCATTTTTTTCAATCGGTACCAATTCATGTACGTAATATTAGAAATTTTATTTTTACTCTGATACATCATACAACAGCGCTAGCAAAAAATAATGAATTGAAGTATACTTATGAGCTAAGTATTTCAAGAGCAATAATAATAACAACAACAATAATAATAACAACAACAATAATAACAACAACAATAATAATAATAATAATACTAAACTTGTTGGATATACTTTGGCTGCAACAAAAGGATAATTTTTAATTTTTTAACAGGGGTAGGGAGGTAGGTTAGTTGGGTGGAAAAAAAGGGATGCACACAGCTGACTACAGCATATATGTAAAGTTGCAGCAGTTAAAGTAGCAGCGATGCGTATTAGATGACCGCAGAACGAGCGATAACAACGGCGACGATGACAATGCGACTCACAAGACGACATCCAGCGTTGGTAACAGCAGCGGCGGTCATGCATATATACGTGCGAACGTTAGATAATAGAGACAGGTATGGAAAAGGAGGATGGAATACTTGAGACATGAGGATAGCTGGCGCATGCATTCCTGCAACACGAGACATGTTGGCGAGCGCCGAGAGGATACTTTCGACGTACGCGAGACAGAGAGGGGGAGAGAGACATCCCTAGAACTCTACGTACGTATACCTAAAAAAAAAAGAAGAAGAAGACATTGGTCAGGAGCTACACAATACTGATGCCAGACAACTTGAGGACTGTGCAGTCGTCAAGAATGGTGGTATATTAATTGGTTGTAAATTATTGTAAGCGTAAAACAAATAAAACACCGTAAGCTTTCTTCTTTTCTTTCTTTTTGTTTTTTTCTCTGTGACCTGCTCCTGTTGCGTCTCCTGTCTGACGTTTGCTGATTGTGTGGGTCGTTTCACGAAAAATTTTTCGCTTTAACGGATGGAATGGAACTTCCAAATTTAGTGCTTACAATTTTTTCTAAGTCATTTAGGGTCTAGGAAAGGTGGAAACTGGTTTTTTGATGCATTTAAACTGCATCTCGTATGTGAGTACCCAAATGGGATTGTAGTTTATTCGTTTTAAAATTTTCGATGTAGATACAATGAAAAAAAATTATCTGGTTTTCTTAATTAATTGAAAAGTCTTACGTCAATAGTTTTTCAATACTGAAAAATAAAAAAAATTAGAAAACTAAATGTATAATTAGTTATTTTAGCCTTTTTTTAATTTTTCAATTTAATTTTTAGTTTAAAAACATATACCATAACATAAAAATTATAAAGAGCGTTCTAAATGTCTGAGATGTGTAATGAAAAACTTTTCGTGGAACAACCCAGGAGTGTGAGTCATAAAAATGTGTGCGTGTGTGTGTATATATATGTCTGTATAATAGTGTAAAAATTTTCAAAGATAAATACAAAAGTAGTCAATAGAATAATAGATCTTAATGTATGCAAAAAGCTATTTATGTACTGCGTACCATTAAGCTCATGATGCACATAAATTTTGTTTCGTATAATTGCTGGTGAGTAATGTCTTATATTGCATGAGACGGGTGATCTCGCACGTCTAAGAAATACAAGTTTTTCGTCGTATCTGAATCTCTGACTTACTAATATGCGTATTTGATCATCAAAATGTATGCTTGATTTAATGGAGCAGTGCTAGTTTGGTGAAGAGTCAGTGGAAAAAGTCGAGCGCATGTGTATGTATAAATCTGGTGTCAGAAGTGACCGTTAAATAAACTTATGAAAAAAAGTGTACGGTCGGCGATTATGCTGATTAACTGTGAAGACAAGTATGTACACGCACACCTTAAAATTACACGTGAGAATCGAGAAAACGTGTATTATACAGTAGGAGTTGTGAAAATGTGTTGAATAAAATAAAAAAAGAAGAGTACGTATATTGAAGACGCGCGAGCGTATTACCCTTCGTTAACTTATCTCACGGCCTTCTATTTCCTCTCATGTATCATTTTTGTCCTATTTTAATTCGACTTTTGATTATCTATCCTCTTTTTCGACACGATGTCCTCCTTTTTTTTAATTACTTTTGTCATTTCTTCCTTCTGCTCCTTCTCCTTGGTATTCTGGTTCTTCCAGCTGACATTCCTGTTTTCACGAGTAACCTAGTGCTGTGGCTTCCTAATGTGAGCGTGTGGTTGTTGCATTGTCGTTGTTTAAGGCCGTATACCACTTAGCGAGCCTTTTGTTACGATTATTTCTCTTATGTTCAGTTTCAGTAGTACAGGTACGAGTATGGGCGGACGTAGAACGGCTATCTACGTAACGCGTGAATGAATGTGGTGGCTGCACGTGGATGCTGAGCATATTTTGGTGAAGTTTGTGGAGGAGCAATGGTGGGATTCGAGACGGTGGCATTACGTGTGAGTGGAGTATGCGTGCACGATGTGTCTGTATGGTCACGATGAAAATAGTTGCACTTGGACGAGTCGAAGGAAAATCAGGGGGTGTGGAAATTGTGTAACGAGACAAATGAACGATGGGACGTGGTGAGAAATTTATCTTTTTGTTTGGTTGCGTAGACACTTCTGATCATATCTGATGTGTATCATAATGAAAAAAATAAATAAATAGAAATAACCATTAACAAAATTATATGTATATGATTGTACCTAACTTGAGATCAATTTAATCGATTGTATGATAATTTTTGTTCTGACTTTATAATGTTCACCCCTTAGCTGTGGCTCTGAATAATTGAGACGATTTTATAATATTTTATGAATTAAAACTGAAAACTGTTTTGGAAAATTGTATACTCAAATATTATCAAATAATACCTTATTTTTGTATCACATACAAAAAGTGATTCATGATTTAGAAATTGACTTATTGTTGATTAAAAAATAATGATTATAATGTAGCTATAGTGTGTTGCGTATTATAGAAATTTTTTTGATAGTTGTTTATAACCTAAACTTTAGATGTGAAAAAATTGAAAAAATTTTAATAATTGCCATGTGGATAATGTTGGACCATATCAAATGGAAACATATATAAGAAGCAACAACAAGCTTTGATTTTCATTCATATATTTATCTCACAATCATGAATAATAAAATCAAATAAACATCCTTATGATATTTAACAGAAAGACATTGGTAACTTCAATTATCTACTGCATATTCAGTCATTTAATTCATTACCAATTATAGTCAATGTAAGACTTTTTTTGTTGTATTGAAATAATTTTTTTATTTCTTGTACATCAAGATTACTTTATAAAATCAAAATTTCTTATCTCTGTTAACCACTACAAATGTCAGTAGAACTATATCATAATGTAAAACATTTTGCTCACGTCTAAACTAATCAATATATAACATTAAACATTTCACTGTTCAAATTTTTTCTGTTATAAGTATGGGATATAAAATTTTATTTAAAAACTCTTACATTGACGATAAAAATGATTACTTCACATGTACCTACTTTGGGTTACGTTCATACGTGGAAGGAAAGTCTGCAAATAAAAGGAAAATTATGACATTACAGAGAAACTACGATTTGACAATGGACGTACAGATATAACAATGATTCCATGCGTTATTACAGGACTGATAAAGTAATTTAATCGTCAGATTATTTGTAGTTTTCACGTATTTTAGACTAGTGTCAGATAAGTTGAAAAAATTAAAAAATGAGTTGTTAAAAATAAAGTTGTCGATTGATGTATTTATTTATTTTGGTTAGGACATAACCATGCCAATACCTGATTTATTGAATAATTATAGTACTTTTCAATGCTTTCTAATTAAAATTTTTATAAAATCCTTGTATTTACTTTGAAAGAACCAGTCTATGATCAGTGTGAGTATAAAGTAGAGCAAAAAATGAAGGAACAGTTTTTAAGTACATTAATTTTTTTACTTAACTCTATAAGTTCTTCAGTGACATTTCGTGAAAACACAATGGAAGAAAAATAAGTAAAGAAATAATTTTAAATAGTTGATTTTTTAAATAATTTTTAAGTAAAGTTGTAAAAATTGTTAATATAAGTAACGATGTACTAGTACAATACATTTTTAATACATTTTTATATGTATAATAAAGGCCACATAAATTTTTATTATATAACTGTCACTATTGTGAAAGGACATTAACACACTTGTTTGAAAATTTTAAATAAAAACATCAATCGTGATTTGTATGATGGTTGCTCTTAAATGTATCAAAACAAATGAAATATTGTTGAAATAATGCTGTGATGAAATCAAAAGTGATAGTGGAACTTATGAACGAAAAATGATGTCAGTTTACTTAATAATATTTTGGGAAACTTGTTTAGCAAGAAAGTCATTGTCAGATATGAAGTGGTTACGATACGACACGACAAGATGCGATATGTAGTCTTATTGGATCTGGAAGATTACGATATTTAGTGTGCCTTACATGTGTCTGGGCGTGGCTTCTCTTCGGCCACCATCAAAGCTGCACTCTCGGCTGGTGGTATGTGTCCCTCTAACGCATTCGTATAGTTTAGCACGCTCCTGGAAAATACCACGCCAAGCTATTTTTGTCTTCCTTTTTCCCAAATTGACACTCATTTTACTTCTTTTTAGTTATGATAGATTTTTGTGAATACAGTTACATTTACAAACAGTTTTAAAATTAATTTTTACAAAACGGTATTTGTTTTAGTATATATAGGGTGGTCTATTAAATTATTTACAATTCATTCAATACTGTGTGCCTCGTATAGGGCTTATTAGAGAATTTTCTATCCATGCAACAATAGTTAAAGCAATAATACAAGATGTTTCGGTAGTTTTGAATTTTTTTGATTGAAATTTCAATTAAAAAATTCAATATTTTATCTAGTCAGTGAAATCTAATGCAAAAAAATCGGCCTTAAAACTTTTTTTTATTCAACCAAAGTGGAGTAACAATATTATTTTTGTGCAATCTTAAAATACAACATTCAACAAATGACTGGTATGATTATAATCATAATGGTATGATCGTGAAAAAATTACATTACGGCAGGAATTACGATCTATAAATTACTTCTTTTCATTTCGACTCATCCTAAATTACTTTACAAAAATTGATCTTTCGATATTATAATTCACGATTTTTCGATATGTTAAGAACTAATTATTGTATACAATCGTAGATTTCAATTGGCTAGATTTGAAAGAAAATATTTAAAAGAGAAAAAAAATTTACCAGTATTTATTATTTTCTCTCCAGAATCAATTGATGAAGTCATACTGACGATTAATTCAGACAGTGTTAAAATTTATTAACCCTTGTAATGAAGAAATTATTATAATTCAGTTTTTGTTTTTCAAGATTAATTACGTAATATAGTACCTTGTCTTCCAATACTGTTAGTTTTCACAGAAATTTTGGCAACTAGAGAACACAAGAAAATTTATCTACTCCACAGCCAGCTTATTGACCATTCTTAATGATATATATACATGCTTTTAGTTTTTCGCACAAAATGTTACGGTTACAATAATCTAACGTTAATTTTTGTTAGTATTTAATAAATAAATGTGAATGGTCGTTTTGAAAATTTAGGCTTTAGATTGCAGTAGTACTGTAAATATTATTGTAATATATGGTTAAAAATAATTTCGAAGGAATGATATTACAATTTTTATAACATTAATTTATTTTTATTAAATGAGAATATATACATAATTAACAGACGTAATTTTCTAAGGAAAGTACTTCAGGTTCAAATAAGAAGGATTGTGTACTGTTTCAGTTGACATACTCTGCAGAAAGTATTTTTGCCTGATTTCCTCCGTCTCTCCCTCCCAAAAAAATTTTTTAGTTTCTTACAGTCTCTAAAAAAGTTAGAAAAACTCGTTTATTAACCTAAAATTTTTTTTTGGGCTTACTTTTTTTTAATCAAATTTTTATCAAACATACGAATAAAACTTTTAATTGAAAAAATTATGTTACAAATATTTGAAAATTAGAGATTTTTTACATCGTGTTGTTCAATTATACGTCAAAAATACATGTACACGCGTTTCAAGTCCAAATTTTAAATATACAAAGTTAGAAAAAAATAATGTAGTGCGAAATTCTCGAGCTGCTACAGCACTTATTTTTTGTGACTTTAATAGGAATTTGCGCAAATGTCTACAATAAACGTGCTTTGTAATAAGCGAATCAGAAAAAAGATCCTGCTTTAGGCCGAAAAATGCATGATGCTACGTAAGCCAACAATAAAAGTTATATAGTGTTTAAGTACAAGGACGTACTTGGTATTTTACCGAAAGCAGTTTTTTAAACCTGAAATACTTTATTGTAAGGTCAAGAAATTAAAAAATAGATGACATCTTGACATCAACATACAAAATATATGACATTAAAAAGTTTTTCGAAAAAACTTAGTATGTTCGCAATTACAGAGAGATCATCACGTTATTTGACTTTGTTACAACTAATTTTAGTAGTTTCTTAAATACAAAATCAGTTCATATTAACTTTTTGTCATTTAATAAAATTTGGTACATTTCACAGTTTCATGACTTTTCAAATTTCTTATGTTATACGTCACTCGAATTTTTTTTGTCACTCATTATTAATTGTAGAAGAAACTAACAGTTTTCAAATACGATTTACATAAAACTTTTCATACCAACATGACGAATACAAACTACACGAGTAGGAATTTTCAGTTAAACAAAGGAAAGTTTTTAATTCAAAAAGAATAATTACTTAAAATTTTTTTCATGTCTCTGTTAAGAATCTCGCAACTCTTCAAGTTGAAAAATTGAAGTTAGATTTTTATAGTAAGAACAACATAGAATCTAATAAAATTATAAAAAACTTTAAGTATAAAGTTCTTTGATAATTGTATACT